ATTTACCATGCTCTGTCCTCCGCTAAACCACCTATTTTGCGTGAAATATAAACTATGGTGAATAGCTTTTTAAAATGAAAACTTTTTGCTTATGTTAACATACACTCTAGGATATACTAGGATACTCTAAGATATGACCAACTTTTTTCTCTCACGAACTGAGTTTTTGGTGTCATATCCAAAAATATAATTGCCTAGGAAGTGGAGATGTAGCTTAGTAGTACAGCACTTGCCTAGTGTACATGAGGTCCTTGGATTCAATCCCTGTTACCTAGCCCACTGCCCCCCCCCCACCAAAAAGAAAATAAAAGAAAAAAGAGTAATAGCAAACCGCAAATCATAGACATCTTGCCTCATTCTTGATCTTAGGGGAAAATTGATCAATCTTTCAGTAGTAAGTGTGATGCTGGCCGTCAGTTTTTCAGATTCTCTTAAAAGTTTTCATCAGGAATAGAACTTAATTATCCCATTCAAATAGAGTTGAATTATGCCAAAAGCTTTTTGAGTCTACTAAGATAATGATGCAGTTTATCTTTTTTAGTTTGTTAACATGGTGAACTACATTTATTGAATTTTTAAAAATGTTAATCTAACCTTATGTTCCTGGGATGAACTTCAAATGGTTAGGATGCACTGACCTTTTATATATTGTTGGATTCAGTTTGCTAAAACGTTGCTTAGGATTTTTACAACTATGGTCATAAGGATATCAATCTGTAGTTTTCTTTTCTTGTATGTCTGTGTCTAGTTTTCCTATCAGGGTAATGATGGCCTCAAAGAATGAGCTGGAATCTTTCATCTTCTGTAACAGTTCACGTAGAATTAGTATTCTTTCTTTCTTAAGTGATTGGTAGAATTCACCACTGAAATCTGGGCCTCAGAATTTTCTCTTTTGGGGATCTGGGGGTGTAGCTCAGTGGCAGAGCAATTGTGTACTGGGTTGCATCTCCAAAAAGGCAAAAAAGGAATTTTCTTTGTAAAGGTTTTCACTTCACTTTCCTCAGTAAGTATAGGCTATTCACGTTACCTGGTTCTTCTTGAGAAGGTTTTGGTAGTTTTCAAGCAATTCGTCCATTTCACCTAAGTTGCAGATTTACTGGAATAAATTTAATATAGTATTCTCTTATTATCCTTTTAATACCTGTAGTTTGTGGTATCTCTCATTCCCAGTACTGGTAATCTTTATTCTTTCTCCTGACTGACTGGAAAAGGTCTCATCAATTTTACTCTCAAATAACTGGCTTTCAGGTTTCATTGCTTTTCTCTGCTGTTTATTTTCTATTTTACTGATTTGTGCTTTAATTTTATTATTTTCTTTCTTTCTTTTTTTTAAGGAAATTTTTTATTGTTGGTTATTCAAAACATTACAAATTTCTTGACATATCATATTCCACACTTTGATTCAAGTGGGTTATGAACTCCCACCTTCACCCCATACACAGATTGCAGAATCACATCAGTTACACATCCATTGATTTACATATTGCCATACTAGTGTCTGTTGTGCTCCGCTGCCTTTCCCATCCTCCACCATCCCCCCTCCCCACCTCTCCCCTCCCCTCCCCTCCTCTCTCTATTTTCTTTCTTATGCTTTGTTTTTTTTTCCCTCTACTACTTCTTCTTGGGTGCTGAGGATGGAAACCAGGGTCTTGCATGCTACCACTGAACTAGATCCCAAGCCCCTCTTATTTTGTTTTTTATTTGCTTTTCTTTTTCTAGAAAGTCTCTTAAGGTACAAGCTGAGATCACTGATTTGAGATCTTCTTTTCTATTACAAGTGTTTAGTCCTACAATTTTCTCCCTAAGTAGAGTTTTTATCACAAATTTTGATGTGCTGTGTTTTCATTTTCATTCAGATCTAAATACTTTCTGATTTCCTTCTTGATTTCTTCTTCAACCCATGTGTTATCTAGAAGTGTGTGAGTTAGTTACCACATACTCAAGACTTCTATTATTAGAATTATTCTTAATTCCAGTGTGGCCACAGAACTTATTTTGTATGTCTTAAATCATTACTAATTTGAAGCTGTTTTTCATGTCCCAGAATATTGGCCTTAGTAATATATGTGTGCTCAAAAAGAATGGATCTTCTGCGTCCCTGGATGGAGTGTTCTAAACTGTGGAGTAGAGCCCCCCTGGTTGACAGGATCTTTCAAGTCCTCTGCAGCCTCACTGATTGTCTACTTGTTTTATTTACTATTGTCAGAGGAATAATAGAATCGCTAATGATCATCTTGGACAAATAAATTTCTCCTTGCAGTTATTGAGGTCGGCTTCATACATTTGAGGCTATGTTCCCAGTTCATAATGTTTAGGATTATCACAAATTCTTGAACAAATAAGCCCTTTTTCATTATGAAAAGATGTTCTTTGTCCCCAGCTATATTCTTTGCTCTAGTTGGTTTGATATCAATGTAGCCAACCCCATTTTTCCTTAAAAAAATTAGTCTTACCATGACATATAATGTTCTATATTTTTTCTCTTAACCTATGTCCTCCTCCTCACTACCTTGTGCCCTGCTTCATTAGGTCCCCAGCTACAGCATGTCCACCTCCCCAACTGGCCAGATTCCTGAGCATAATACTGGGTTTCATTTTGTCTTCCAACCCCAACAACCTAGTACACAACAAATATTCACGTCTTAAGGACACAATGAGTTCTCCCAGTTTTGGTTTTTCAACACCAAAAATTCAAAACATGCTCTTATCTAACAGTTTACAAGAATAGCTAAAAACAAAAAAGAAAAAATGTAGATTATACCAAATTCTCATCAGTATTATCAACACAAGACACATCCGAGGCATTTCCATGACACATGAAGAGCAAAGCCCTGGAAAATGCAAAACCTGTTCTCTAGAGGGACAGAAATCTCACCTCTGTCAGGTTTCCTATGTGCACTAAAGAAAGCTTGGTTACAATGTTAAGTCAAGGAATTAACTTCAGGCTTAAATCATTCTACTTCAAGATAAAGTTAAATTTTGCTTCTTTCAGTAGAAAGCATAACATTTTTACCATAGCACATGTAGTTTAACCTTTCCGTGGTATTAAAAAAATCTCAACTGCATATAAGTAAATATCGATTGGTCTGGTCCTACCCATGAGGAATCTGATTTATATTTCTAAGAAAAGGATGTTAAAGACTTCATGGAAGCAGGTCTGTACCACATAATCAATATAAAAGTGTGTGTGTGTGTGTGTGTGTGTGTGTGTGTGTAGAATAATTGTATTTAGGAAAAGTGAGTCAAATGAAGAAATTTACCAAAAATTTTTAAATATCCCAAAATTTAAGGTTTAGTGTTCAGGGGCTGGGGATGTGGCTAACTGGTGGAGCACTTGCTTAATATATGCAAGGCTCTGGGTTAAATCCCCAGCAATGTTAAAAAAAAAAAAAAAAAAAAGAACAAATATATTTAGTATTCATCTAACTTTAAATCCCTTCCTGCAAAAAAATTCAAGCCAGTTTTAAAAGAAATTCTTAGAGAAAAAAACTTCAGTCAAATACAATGGCAGCCTCTGCAGGAAAGTTTGGTACCACACAGATTAGCTCTTCCTTCATTTAAAAGTGGCTCTTCAAACAAAAGACCACAGAAGCCCCAACCAAAGTCCACTCTCCAGCCAGAGGACTAAGAAAAGGGCAGCCTGGTGAGTGAGACTACCTGTGGAAGGTCCTCGTTCTAGCCAAACACCACAGAATAATCTGCAGCCTGTGTCTCAGTGCTCTGGCTTAGGAGAAGTTCATGGAGACTGGCATCCCCCTCAGGGTAATGAGTGCCCAGCCTGCCAGTGTCTGTGGATGGCAAAACCTGAACTTCCACCCCCATTCAGCAGCGGAGAATGGCCCTCCCAATCTGTCTGGTCAGGTGGGAAACCTCAATTTCTCTCCTCAACCCAGTAACAAGCCCCATAACCTCCCCCACCATTTTCTCTACCAGAGTCAATTAGAGATCAGCAAAAATCAGGTTTTACAAAAGATCCAGACATAAAGACAGATGCAAATATCCAGGTTTTAAATCACTCACACCAGAAGTCAGGAAAATCTCAACATGAGTGAAATCAGCCAATTAACTAACACATGCTAACACCAAGAGGACAGACAGGCTATAATTATATGATGACAATTTAAAGCTTCCATCAAAAGAATATGACAGGGGCTGGGGTATAGCTCAGTTGGTAGAATTCTTGCCTCCCATGCACAAGGCCCTGGGTTCAATCCCCAGCACCACATATACACACACATACAAACACACAAACATGACAAAGAATAATTATGACACGCTTAAAAGCAATGGAAAAATCAGAAAGCCTATGCAAAGTAATAGGTGTCAGCAAAGAACTGGAAAATATATAAAAAAATAATTTTAGGAGTTTAAAAAAATAACCTGTGACTGGGAGTTAGTGGTAGGTTAGTGGTAGAGTGTGTGCTTAGCATGCTGGAAGCCCTGGGTTCTATCCCCAGCACCAAAAAACAAACAAAAAACAACCATTAAATTAAAAAGCTGTTTTGACCTCAACTGAACTGATAGCTGCTGTCCCCAGCAGCCACCAGATGCTTGGCAGAAAAGCATTTAGCAGGAACTCTCCCAGACTTGTGAATACCATGAAGGAAATCAGGCCTGCAACACTGACACAGGCCACGTGGATAAGCCTTGAGGACAGATGCTGAGTCAAACAAGCCAGTCACAGAGGGCCACACACTGAGATTCCATTTATGAAATATTCAGAACAGGCAAATCGAAACAGGCAGAGATGGAGGGAAGTATGGGCAGGGAATAATTGTGTAATGGGCACAAAGTGTTTTTGTGGGATGATGAAAAAGTTTTATAATTGGAGGCAGGTGGTGGTTGCACAACATGTAAATGCATCAAATGCCAGCAAACTGTAACCTTCAAAATGGTTACTGTACGCCCTCTTTATCCACAGGTTCTACATCCACATCCATGGACTCAATCAAGGACTGAAAACATTTGAGGAAAAAAAAAATGCATCTGTACTGAACATGTAGACTTTTTCTTGTCATTTATTTTAACTATTTACATAGCATTTACATTGTATTAAGTTTTAACCATATGAAATTCAGACATAATTTAAAGAATACAGGAGGATGTAGCATAGGTCGTATTCAAATACTATGCCATTTCACATAAGGAACTTGAGCATCTGTGGATTTTCGTATCAAAGGGGTGTCCTGGAACTAATCGCCTGCAGATACCAAGGGACAATTATATATCATATGTTTCTCAGAAGCATGAAAATCAAAGAAAAATAAATAAAAATCAGCCTTTAAACAAATGTTTAGAAAAGCTGTTTGAAATGTTTATATTGTGAAATGCATCAAGATTTCCTACAACTTAATCAAATGGACAAGAAAAGACCCAATGATAAAGCTTACAGAAGGTATGTGGGGCGGTGACACAGGCCTGGATATGGTTAGGAGGTAGGCCATAGAACGGGGTCTCATAATCGTTTTGGCCCAACACCAATTTATTTTTTTTAAAAAATATACTAAGTGTATACACTGTCAGGCTTAATTGATAATATCAAACAACTTATCTGTAAGATTTACGAAATCATGGCTTACTAAGAACCACACTCATTCTTTAATATTAACAGCACCTGGGCCCAGTGTGGAGGTACTTTATGTCTTCTATCACGCCACAGGACTCAATAGATAAGATATATCAGAGATAAGATATTCAATTGGAAAATCATTTTAGAAGACCTTTTTTTTTTTTTTTAAAGGAAAAAAGCCTTTATTCCTACCTGTGCTTTTGTTCTTTCCCTCTCCAATGGACTGGCTTCTCTAGAAAATAATGCCACATGAAATTCTGTCATCCAAAATCCAATTTTAAGTACTGTATCCCTGACTCGGCACTTACTGCAGGCTAAACATAACTCAGTACAGACTCGGGGCTGCCCACTCTGTATAGCTCAGGGTGTTTGTTTCTTAAAATGTTACCTTTTAACATGTGCAAATAAGTGGCCTCTCAACTGGATACATTTCTGTTAATAAATCACTTAGTTCTTTGAATAAGAGGCAGCAAACAACCACAAGGTATATTCACCAGTATTTTAAGTGGCGGACTTAAAGACCCATAAGTGCTTGCCCATCTGGAAGGGAAGGAGGTGCTAATTAGTATTCCCCAGAACCTGGATGGCTTTGCTCAAGAAATATGACTGGCAGTCACAGGCTGGGATGGGTGGGGTGGGGTGGAGAAACTGAGTTGGCAGGATAATCTTTAAAATCAGTACATGGAAGAGAAAGAAGGGTTTCTAGGGGTACTACTGACATCTGGTTGGGAACTCCTGGGAGTTGATCAGAACCATCCTCAGAAGCTGAACCAAGGACAGGTATGAGGTCCCACCTACCTCTTGGCCGAGGCTGGAGACTTGGCCACGATGACTGCATTCCTGTAATCTGGGATCTGTGATAGACAAGAGTTTGGGGATTACCACCATGTCTCTAAGAGGTCATGCTGACAGTCAGTGAAAAAGAAGGTTCCTAAAGACTCAAACTGTCCTATGATTCCTTGGAAGTTTTGCAAAAAGAGATAGTTCAAAACAAAGTCTTTTTTTGGAAACTGAAGGAATGCCGACCTACTAAGGTGTGAGACTCAGAGATTCCTTTTAAGAGAAAAATAGGATAATCAGTGATTAGCTCACATATTTACACCGACAAATAACTGATATAAAGAGGATTCTATAAAGTCAACAGAAAATCCTCTCATGATTCCCAATTACATGCAGTTTCACAGTACAAGTAGGATAGTCACTCAATTCAAATCCAAGTTAACTGTCAAATTTCAAATTACTGTGGTCCAGAGATGACTATTCAACATATTGTAGTCACTACATGCCGAATGAACCAATTTTGGAAAGGAAAATCAGCCCTGTACTATTTTAAAAAGAGCCTAAAACCAAAAGCAAACTAACAAAACCAATTAAAGTATCAACCCCACTTATGGTGGGGTTCCTGAGGGACTAAACTCATGGGAACTTCACCACTGAGCTATGTCCCCAGCCCTTTTTTCTATTTTTTATTCTGAAGCAAGTGTGAGACTTGTTGTCAAGGTTGACCTTGTCTCATCAAACATCATCATGATGCAATCTTCCTGCCTCAGTCTCCCAAACTGCTGGAATTACAGGCATGTGCTATGGTCCCTACCTGAAATCTTTTTAATGTTGAAAACTGATGTAATATGTGCTAGTGATGTAGTGATGATTAAAGTCAAAGATGTACCCATTTTCAAGGTCTAAGTGCATAGAAGATAATTTTTTTTTTTTTTTGTACCAGGGATTGAACTCAGGGGCTCTCCACCACTGAGCCACATCCCCAATCCTATTTTGTATTTTATTTAGAGACAGGGTCTTAATAGTTTAGCGCCTCACTGTTACTAAGGTTGGCTTTGAACTTGAGATCCTCCTGTCTCAGCCTCTCAAGCAGCTGGGATTACACGTGTGCACGCCCAGTTTATAAACTGTTTTGAAAATAAGTTGCAGTTTGTTTCTAACTTCAATTTAGCAGTATTTTCAAATTATGTTCTCCCCATTGTTTTTCTTTCCTTTCCTTTCTTTTCTTTTTTTTTTTTGGTAGTACTGGAGATTGAACCCAGAGGAGCTTTACCATTGAGTTACTTCCAGATCTTTTCATTTTTAAGACAGGGTCTAAGTTTCCCAAGCTTGTCAAGAATTTGTGATCCTCCTATCTTTGTCCCCTTTGTTGCTAGGATTATAGCGTGCACCACTGTGCCTGGCTTCCAGTGTTTTCTTGTTCTCACAATTTACCAGTCAGTTTTAATATCAGCAGTAATAACACCTAACACACTGTATGATGCCTACCATATGAGAAACTTTGTAAATGAACAAAAAATTGATTCACTTAAGGATACACAGGTGCATTTGTCATGAGCACATGGATCAGTGCATCCACAGGAAAGCCTAGCTCTTCCTGTGTTCTCAGGGAGGAAGGCAGAAAAACATATTTTCACTTGGGCACTTCTTTATTTTTTTGGAATTCATTTGAAATGATCTCATGTATTTCCTTGTCTCATCAAACATCATCAACTAGCAAAAACCCACCCTAGAGAAGATATAACAACCAAGGAAACCATTAGTAAAACAAATAAAAGGACTCTAATCAAAACATGCCTATTGTCTCTTCCAAGGTTACACAGGAAATCATACATTTGAAGGAGGAACAGTTGTAATGAGAAAGAACAAGAAATCTAGGAGGAAGTCATTATGGTGTAAATGAGAAGTTCAGGAGCTGGTTGAATGGTAGAAATAAGCCAGCTTAAGAAAAACAACCTGAGATGACTGAGCCAAGGCCTTTTCCCAGTATGTTACATATAAGTATGCAAACACAAAACAAAAAACAAGTCATAGCAGGGATAGTGATGCACACCTGTGGTTCCAGCTATCCAGGAGGATGAGGCAGGAAGATCAGTTATTTGAGCCTAGGAGTTTGGGACCAGCCTGGGAAACACAGCAAGACCCCATCTCAAAAATAAACCAACAAACAAATGGGGGAAGAGAAGAAATTATAGTCTATATTATCTTCTGAATTAGCACTTTAATTTTTTGGGGTTATATAACATGAAATAAAATAAGTAATTATTACAGATTTTTCTCTTTCCAAAATTTTTGAGTCATTTTCACTATGAGGGCCTAAACTGATAGTTGGAATGTAGGGAAGGCCTCAAATCTTACCAGAAAAAGTTTTTTTTTTGAGGTCAATAAACTGCTGTCTTTTAAGTATAGTATTGTAAAAGGAAGTTATTTGGAAAAGTTACTGAAGAAAGAAATAATTCATGTGAGACAAAGAGTTCCTAAAATAAAAATCTAAGTACAATACAAACCAAAATTTAAAAGGCTTCTTTATGTAAAAAGTCACAAAGTGCTCTTATGTCAAAGAATAACAAATATGACTAATAAAATTGCACAAATCTGATTTACCCAATAATGAAAGGGTGGTTCAACTTGAGAAAAATAAATTTAATACACTACATTAATAAAATAAAGGAATTCTTGGTGCGCGTGCACACACACACACAAACAGAATTAATAAAGGAGGAAAATGTACAATTATTTCAATACAGAAAAAGCATTTGACAAATCCAATACGTTTACATGATAGAAGACTCAGAAAAACCAGGAATTGCAGGGAATTTACCTGATATGATAAGGAGTATTTATGAAAAACCCATAGCCAACATCAGACTTAATGGTGAGTGAAAGCGTTTACCCTTAAGTTCATGATTGAAACAAGAATAACACTTTCCCTACTTGTGTTTAAAATGCACTGAAAATTCTACCCGGAAATATCAGGCTTGAAAAGGAAATGAAAAAAACTCAAATTGGAAAGGAAGAGGTCAAACTAATTCCATTTGTAAGTGACCTGTTCTCATACGCAGGAACAATAAAGAATATAACCTCGACCCCCTGAAAACCCACAACAAACTACTATAGCTAAAAAATGAATGTTGCAGAATTGCAGGGTACAAGAGCAACATGCAAGTATCAGTAGTGTTCCTAAATTCCACCAATGGACACTCCAACAAACAAACAAAATTCTACTTGCAGTAACATCCAAAAACAAACAAACTTGGGAATAAATTTAACTTAGGCTAGAAAGTGAAAGACTTGTACACTGAAGAAACTGATATCTAAATACATGGAAGGAAATGTTGTATTCATAGGTAGAAGATTAAATATTAAGATGGCAATACTGTCCAAAATGATTCACAGATTTAATACAATCCCCATCAAAATTTGAGATATGGCTTATGATTGCAAATCAAGCAAGGTTAAGTCACCATGAGGCCTAAATGACTTTGTCTTCTTGGAGATTCTTCACATCTCCTCTCCAATTTAATTCAATAACAGATGTAATACTGGAGGTGAGGTCATGCATGGATTCTGTATTACAGTCTAGAACTAATGGTGTTAAAATACATTTAGATAGGAAGAATCCAGTGGAGAAAGGTGGGTAGGGAAAGTTTTGAAGCTCTATTGTGAATTACAAAGTGAAGGCAATGTATTTTATTTACGTATTTATTTATTTATTTTATTTGTGATTTTTAGATATACATGACAGTAGAGTGTATTTTGACGTATCATACATACATGGAGTATAACTTCCTATTCTTGTGATTGTACGTGATATGGCATTACACTGGTCATATATTCATGTATGCACATAGGAAAGTTATGTCTGATTCATTCTACTGTCTTTCCCATTCCCACCCTCCCTCCCTTCCCTTCATTCCCCTTTGAAGTAAAGGTAAAGTTGATTTTAGAAAAATTATTCTATATAGAATTTTTCTGGTCATAACCTGTTCAAAATATAACTGCTTCTGCTTTGTTTTAATCTGGGCTGGGAGAGAGGTGGGTTGACAGGGTTAAGACAAAAGAAAACCATAGTTCGTTGCAGGTATTCTGGTGCTGTTTCCATGAGCTTCACCTCTGGTTTTCCTACTTTTAGTAACCCAAATGAAGAATTTAAAGCTCTTTTATAAAATATTTTGGAAACAAAGAACATTTCATTGACAGTGATTCTAATATTCAGGTAATCAAACCTGATTTTTGCGGATGAATACTTGAATAAAACTCAACATGTTTCTGAAACAGATTGGTATGGAACAAGAATTAGTAGTTTATTTTCAATCCTTGAGTCATTCAACTGGATCAGTTAGAATTTTCCAGGGAAATAATGGCCTGTTAATATTGCCTGGAATAAATAAATGAATTCAACATTAAAAAAAAATTGAGATAAACAGAAAAGCTTATTTGCATAAACAGAAAAGTTGTTCTCAAATTTATATGGAGTCACAAGCTTCAAAGAGACAAAACAATCTTAAAAAAGAACAAAATTGGAGAACTCATAATTCCCAATTTGAATTAAAACTGAGCATGGTATTGGCAAAAGAGAAACATAAAGACCAACTTCAGAGTTCACAGATAAACCAAACATCTATGGTCAATTGATTTTTGACAATAAGGTACTAAAGCCATTCAGTGGGCAGAAGAATAATTTTTAATAAATGGTGATGGACAATTGGATATCCACATACAAAAGAATGAGTGTGAACGCCCACCTTACAACATATATGAAGAATAACTCAAAATGGATTAAGACTTACGCCGAAGAGCTAGAACTGTGAGATGTTTAGAAAACAGGGACATATCTTTGCTGAGGGCCATTGCTAAGTAAGAATGACGCATGGCATGACCCAGGTCATTTGCAGTGACATTGCATGTAAGGTGACCTTGCTCAAGGACCAGGGCGGATCCGGGTTTAGGGTGGATCGGGGGTTTAGGGCGTTCCTGGTTTAGGACAATCCGGGTTTAGGGCGGTTCCAGGT